AAATTAATTTGATGATGGAGGACCTCGACAAATACACTCCAGAGAGGAAGAAATACTTTACGTGGTAAGCAAAATGACATTTTACGAAGGAATGCCATAAGGAGTATATTTCAAGATGACGATTCATCTCAAGACTATCACCCAAGTCCATCACCAAGTCAAGATGGTGGATATCATTATTAAGTTTATGAGTTTTCGATTGTATTAAGTTTATGTGGTTTATTAATTGTCTTTTTTTTTTTAAGTTTATGTGTTTATTAATTGTCATTTATATTAAGTTTATGTGGTTTATTAATTGTCGTTTGTATTTTATTAATTGTCGTTTTTATTAAGTATATGTGGTTTATTAAATGTCGTTTGTATTAAGTTTATGTGGTTTATCATGATTTTCATGTATTGATTTAATGATTTTTCAAAATTTATTGGAATTTAAATATTTTTTGGTTAAAATGTTCATATAATTAATTTAGGATAGTCTACATAAATTTTTTTTTTTAAATTAATTCATTTTTTGATAATTTCGGACTAAAATTTTAGGCCAGAAAGGTTGGAACAGAAAAGCTGTTTTTGGGCTAAAACCTAAATTTTATGGGCTAAATATTTTTAGGTTTTAGGTCACAATTGGAGATGATTTTAGAAGCCTTTTGTCTCTATATTTAGGAATTATATGGTTGTAGGTTCTCCATTTTTAAGTCAAATTTTAACTAAAAAGACTTCAAAATTATTTTAGAAACGCCCATAAAATTTTAACTCCAATCATACTGTCTAATCTATGAAGCCATAACAATAAAGAATCAATAGAATTAAAAAATCTATAATTTTATTTATAATAATTAAAGCTAGGAGCTCCTCTCTCATAGAAGAAATAATTAATAAATTTGATTTGATAAGATAATACGAATTCAATTCTACTCTTAATCTCATATAGTTTTTTAAGTTTATTTATACAAGTGGTATTAGAAGAAGAGTTGAATTTAACACATAAAATAAAAAAGTAAAACTAATGAAAATGATTTGAAAATTTTAAGTTTTAACGATAAGGATAAAATAAAGGTAAAGTGAATAGTACCATAATTGATTTTTTTAATGTAAAAATATGATTTTTTTTAAAAGTGAACAGTACCAATAACTTTCAGTTAAAGTTCAGTATAAAAATCTAATCCTCTCAACTATTTGGGCCTACAGGTGCTGACAAGTTTCTGTGGGTGAGTAGGAAATGCATCAGCTAATGTGTATTTTTATCATAGTATGAGGAATTCAATTCAAATACCATCAAATGATCAGTTGAACAATGAACATATAGAGAGAGGGGAATGTCCCTGGCCGTGTACATGGCCATATACAATTGGGGAATGTCCGTGTCCCAATTGATTCCCTTAGTGCCTTTGCTTTTCGGCTTTAATTCACGTGCCTCTTCTACAGTGCTTATTGAGTAGGTAGAGTAGAATTAAGTCACGTTAACATCTTGTTTTGAATTTTTTACATATAAAAAAAACAAAAGAGAAAAGTGTGAGAGGAGAATAAGAAAGGGAAGGATAATAGCATGGGAGAGAATCCTACTCCTATTTAGTAACGCAGTTGCAGAGACTTCGCTCGTCCTACTCACTTAACTTGTCGCCTTGTGTTTATTCAGTAGGAGTTGGATTAATCCGCGTTAACATCTTGTTTTGAATTTTTTTCATATAGAGAAAAAGACAAAAAGGAAAAGTGTGAGAGGAGGGGAATGAAGGATATGACAATAGAAGGGAAGAGAATCCTACTCCTATTTAGTAACTCAGTTGTAGAGACTTCGCTCGTCCTACTCACTTTACTTGTCGACTTGTGTTTTGCAACAAGAAAGCGTTGTCGCTCTTTCGATAATTTATCAAATCTAGTTTCACTATGCATAGAATTTCCAATGCAATCAAGATATATTACGTCTAATAAATACTTGTCACATGCTCAAACAGTATATTAATTGCACAGTAAATTGGTGATATGATAGAACCTCTCGTCACCATAACACGTCACCAAGACACCAAAATGCATTAGTTTGCATACTTGCAACCAAGTTTGTTTTATGGGTAAATTACATTGTAACCCCTCAAGTTTGAAGTCTATTACAACCCCATACAATATCTTTAAAATATTTCACTTTCATACCTCACGTACTATTTTATTTCAAAATAATACATCTGTTATATTTTCCATCCATTGATCTGTTAAATGCTGACGTGACTGCCAAATGGGTGCCACGTGGCAAAAAAAAAAAAACCCAAATTGAAACCCACCTCCGCTCAACCCCCACCCCTACAAATAAACCCAAAAACCTTCCCCCCTCGACCCACCTCCATCTCCTCCCATCACCACCGCAGCCCTTCCCCATCACCATCGCAGCCCCCAAACCACTCCTCCCTCTTCACCTTCCCGACCCACCTCCGTGCAACTCCCCACCCCTCCAAATAATAATAATAATAATTAAAAAAAAAAAAGGACTGAAACCCATCCCTCCCCCGCAACCCTCATCCCATCCCAGCCCAGCCCAGCCCACTGTATCCCCACCTCCCCTGCAACCCCCCACCCCACCCCAATGTGAATTTGAACCCCAAGGACATCATCCTCCCCCACATCATCTTCGTCGTCGAAGACGACAACGAGCAGGAGCAGCAGGGTGGCAATGAGAAATCGGCCCAGTGGACGGTGAGATCGGGTGGTGATGGAGGACCTTCGTGAGGAGCAGAGGGATCGGAGAGAGAGCTCTGCGGTTGGTTTTCAGGCTTCTTTTATAAAAAAAAAAAATTTTACTACGTGGCACAAATGTGGCAGCCACGTCAGCACTTAACAAATCAATAGATAGAAAATGTAACGGATGTATTATTTTGAAATAAAATAGTACGTGTGGTATGAAAGTAAAATGTTTTAAAGATGTTGTATGGGGTTGTAATAGACCTCAAACCTGAGGAGCTACTATGTAATTTACCCTTGTTTTATTCATTTACGTCGGTGACATAATTTACTCCTTAATTTTTAAAAAATGAGACTCTATTCTCCAACACAATGATCACTATTTTGTATGAGTTGTTTGAATTAATCAATTTCAACAAGAATTAATGATAAATTAAATACATTAGATGTGGACCATCATTGCCCCTCATTCCCTAAGATCCAAATTATTGAGATTTGGACTTGTAAACGCAACTTCTTGAACAAAATGCGCCATGAATTTGGGTTGAAAAAAATATTGAAAGATCATTGTCAAGATGTGGAATTCAAATCTTCGATACTTGAAGTTGGCAAATCTTTTATGCTAGAAGCAAATTGACTAAATTTCCACCAAATATAAGTTGCATACATTAGTATGAATATTCTCAATAAATGCTAAATAGAGGCAGCGGGAATTTGACTTCCCCTGGGGATAGGGCGAAGGGAAGTTGACGGTGGATTATTAATAAGTCTGGAATTGATTCTTCTTAGGTCGATGCTCGAGTGGTTAATGGGCAATTGTAATTTGTTGGCAATATGCCTTCAAATCCAGCTCGGTATGTGATCAAATATTCTAGTGGATAGAGTGTTCGTTTTATACTTTTGCGTCTTCGTATTTGAAACTCCACTCTTTTTAAATTATTGTAACTGAACTATGTTAAAGTGTCCCGAGAAGCGAAGCTACATTCCTTGTCCCTTAAAATTGTTTGTCATTTAATTAATCATGACGAGAGAATTGAGTGTTTAATCAAAACCTTAGTTCATTAAATGACTAAATGATGAAATCTATAAAGTATGCATATATTTAAAGAGGCGTTTAAGGAAAGGGATTTCTATTTTTTTCTTAAAAATTGGGATTAGTTGTGGGTTCACACTACCTCGAACTTCAACGATCCGAACAATCTATTTTCCAAGTTGCACCTCTTAGATCATCTTTATAAAATATTAGCCAATTTGGAAATATTTGAGTTCTAAGAAATTTACTAATTTGTTCTATAAGAAACAATAAAATTTCATTATGATAGTTAAATAGGCAAATAGTTTCATATTGAATTGAAGTTTTGTAAAGATGACCTATGAATTGAGACAATTCGGATCATTAAAGTTCGATGTAAAGTATGTCTAACAACTAATCCCTATTTTTTTTTAAATGAAATTCTCTTTCCTTAAAGGGGCTGTATTTATCAAACCACATTAAATAATGCGAGCAATATAGGTAAAGGCATAATGTGTATAGGACGTGTGAATGGTTTAATTCCTCAACAATTATAGTAACTAGTTTATTTGGAAACCCTAATCCTCCTATGCATGAATCATTTCAGACGCAATGAAAGATACATTGACTTAATTAATTATCATACATAAACCTTCTTTTAAGGTTAATACACATGGTTTTGTTTGAATATACGACGATAAATGACTTTTCATAGACAAAATTACAGAAAGTCATTACTCAACCCATTAGCCCTACACCATACTTATATACAGTTAAACCTCTATAAATTAACAATATTGGGATCAAAGAAGTCTATTAATTTTCTGAAATATTAAATAATCGATAATAGCTTACTAATTTATCAATATATTCCTTTATTTTTATTTTTATAAATATTGTACTCATATTTGTTTCTCGTTTATGAATTAATAATTCATATGCAGATAACGCTTTTACCACACTTAAAAAAAAACATTCAGGCCAATGCATCTTGGTGCTAATTCGATCTCCACCGACTCTCATTTTCCTTCCAAATAACTTCGTACCTAATAACATTATTTCTTAACTCAAAAGAAAAAGAAAGTAAAATTCATAAATTTACTTATTTTTTCAAAAACAAGTTTATACATTATTTAAAAAAGAGTTTTAATGAAACATTTTCGGTACTATTCACTTTTAACAAAATAACATTTTTACTCTAAAAAAATCACTTCTAATACTATTCACTTATAACACATTTTTATCTTTTTTATTAAAACTCAAAGTTACAAACCCTTTTAATTGATTTTCTTATTTAAAACCACACCCACACATGATATGAACCATCCACTCACCAAAATTTCAGAAACGCTCGCACCCTCCGCGTCTTTACCTTCTTCTCCATCCACCTCCCTTCCCTTCCATCCACGACAATTTCACGCCAAAAATATCCAAAAATATAACAAAAAACACCCTCGAAACGTAGCAGTTTCATCACACCACGAGGACCACGCCACAACTTTCCGCCACACACGCACAAAACACCGCCTTTACTCTCTCTCTCTCTCCTCACTTTCTCTCTCTACCCCCACTCTGTTTTTCCATGAGGGATTCGATCCCTTCCTGAAAGCGCCCTCCTTTCTTTCAATCTATCTCATGGCTTGCGTGAGCGATGAGAGCTGGGTCCCTCTCCCCAAACTGCTCTCCGACCGCCTCTATCTCCGGGAAGACGACCGCCGCGACGCCGACGATGATCAGTCCGGGTTTTTCGGGTCCGAGTCCACAGCGTACCGGTTGGAGAAGGTTTTTCCGGTTTATGCATTGGGGATTTCGAAGCCCGAGTCCGACTCCGTTGTTGGACCCGCTTCCGTTTCCGGCGACCCGATTTGGGATGCAATAAGGGAAGAGGCCAAGTTGGAGGTAATAAAATTGAGCATGCAATTTCTTGGTTTTTGTATTTGGTTTTCAGTTTTTGTTTAAGTTAAACTCGAGAATTAGTTTGTTTCTGGAAGCACTTTTTGCTCAGAAGTGCTTTACTGAAAATACGTCGAAATTCAAGTAATTTCCGGGAAAAAAAAGAAGCAAATTAGAAGTATTTTCTGGATAAGCATATGTCAAGTGCTTTTTCAGAAAGCATCTCAAATGCCCAGGCACTTCTCTGCTAAACAGGAAAACATCTGCTCGTTAGCGCTTATGCTTCTGCTCATAAGTGCATTCGTTGAAAACATGTTGAAGTTCAAGTGCTTCCCGAAAAAGGAATTAGAAGTGTTTTCTAAATGAGCATTTGTCATGTGCTTCTTCAAAAAGCGTTTCTATGACTGAAGCACTTCTAACTTTTTCTTCAAACGCACTCAAAAACCCTTTTAGCTTTTGAAAGCAGTCCCAAACAGGACAGGTTGAAGGTTTTAAGATATTAATGGAATCCCATTAACTATTTTGTTTTCGAATTTAGTTTTGTTTGGTGGGTTTTTAGTGATTTTTTTTGGATTTTAAACATTTCAGGCAGAAAAGGAGCCAATTTTGAGTAGCTTCTTGTATGCCAGCATCTTGGCACATGATTGTTTAGAGCAGGCGTTGGGGTTTGTTCTCGCCAACAGACTGCAGAACCCGACGCTTTTGGCAACTCAACTGATGGATATATTCTATGATGTGATGCTGCGTGATGAAGATATTCAGCGATCCATTCGCTTAGATGTGCAGGTAACTTCAAATTTGTTTCAAAAATGTTATGGTTAACTATGTTTCTGTTTGGATAACTAATGGAAACTCTGTTGTATTGTTTTACAATTTTTTTTCATCAGGCATTTAAAGACCGTGATCCAGCCTGCTTGTCATATTGTTCGGCCCTATTGTATCTCAAGGTATTCTGCTCTTGCACTTTAGTTATGTCGTTGAAGAAAATGAAATGAATAATATAATCAAGCATCCATCACTCTATTTTCTGATCAACTTTTTCGCCTTCTACTTTTGCAGGGCTACCATTCATTGCAAGTACATCGAGTAGCTCATTCGTTGTGGAGTCAAGGACGTAAAGTATTGGCCTTGGCATTACAAAGCCGAATTAGTGAGGTAGTTTCCTTTTTTGGTATCATTGTTGAGCATTAATAACTGTTCTATAGGTTTGTGGTTTTCTGTTCTCCTTCTAATCTATAAACCATTTTATCCTAGGTCTTTGGAGTGGACATTCACCCAGGTATGCTCATTTCTTCTCTGCAACCTGTGGGCATCATGATATTAAGTTTGTCACGATATAGTAATTGAAACTTAAGCACAAAACTTGATTTGTTTTCCGAAAGTGGTTGTTATCTGTAGAATTTGCATCTAAAGGAGACAGTAAAACTAACCTTTATAATAATTTCTCTTTGGTGGGTTTTCTATAGCTGCAAAAATTGGAGAGGGAATACTGTTGGATCATGGTACTGGTGTGGTTATTGGCGAAACTGCTGTTGTAGGAAACAGAGTTTCACTGATGCACGTAAGTCAATTTCATAATTTGTTTCTGTTTCAGTTTATGGGTTGGTTTGCGTTGTGCTGAAAAGAACTATGTATTCTGCTTTTATCAACAGGGTGTGACTTTGGGGGGAACTGGGAAGGAAATTGGTGATCGTCATCCAAAAGTAGGTGACGGCGCACTGATTGGAGCCAGTGCAACTATACTTGGGAATATCAAAATAGGTCGAGGAGCAATGGTAGCTGCTGGTTCGCTTGTGCTGAAAGATGTCCCTCCACACAGGTAGAATGTAATTTCGGTTTTTTTCAGTACAGTAACGTAATTAATGTTCCTGAATATGTAATATTTACTCTATTTACAATCATTAAAGTGATGTTTCTTTCTCTGGTACTGAAGCATGGTGGCGGGAATACCAGCAAAGGTGATTGGATATGTAGACGAAATAGATCCTTCGTTAACAATGAAGCACGGTATGTCACATGGTTGGGATGCTATGAATAATTGTTCACATTCAGTGTTTGTTGTATACGTTTTATTTAGAATTAGGATACTGAGATTAGGCGAGAAAGTTAGAAGGTAATCACATATTCATGATTATCATGTCTCACGTGCAAATTTTCTTGTTATGAATATGCAGATGCTACCAAAGAATTTTTTGAACATGTAGCTGTGCAGCGTAGAGATACAAGACCTGCTGGTTCGTGTGGCTGATAATTTTCATTTTATAGGCCCTCAAGAAACTGCTCCCTTTATTAATTCTTTGCCGCTCAAGATCTGCTAATTGTTTTCAGGAGGTCAGAGCTCAGGAAGAATTGATGGGAGCATTTGAAGTATGTAGTTAGCGTAGATCTTCGTTCCTAAATTGCTAGCGTGAAGGCAGTTTGTGGTCTTCAGAGGAGAAGATGACTTATTTTATCAGCTTGAAGTATACAATTTCATTAAGCATGTCCACCCTTCTGCTACCTATGCTGATGCTGAGCTTCTCGTACGAGCAGTTTAAAGTACCGGGATTTTAATCTAAGCACCTGATTATCTTTCTTTTTTTCTACCAAAACAAACAGCGAGAACCAGCAGCAAGTTTCTTACCGATGAAAGAATGAATCCTCTGATCGGATCAGGAGAAGTCGAAGGTAGTTGAGGATCGATTATTTATCTTATCGTAGTCAAATTGAACTGCATTAATGTATTGAATGCATCAGAAGAATAGAAACTGATAGGAGTTCTGAGTCAAGTCATATTTTTCCCTGTTAGCGGGTGAACAATGTAATCTTTCCATATGTGACAATGGCTCATTCATTTACCGTAAAAATTAACTTGAGAAAGCAATCTTCCTGAAGAACTCCGAACAAACATACAACACAAACACGAAAATATCCACGAGCCTCGTAATTGGTTGATCAGCTTGTTTATTTCCCTTACTGCATCCAACGTCTTCCTCCCATCCCTCGTCGATTCAACAAGTAGTTTGTCCCTTAGTTCTTCTATATGTGGAGTCAGATTCTCCAAGCTGCCAAAATTAATTTCGCCAGAAACGCTTTCAGTCATTCTAAAAGCACTTCCAAGCGAGTTCTTATCTTGTTCATCAGAGAAACACAACACATTGTGCCTACATAGTACATATACCTCCTATTAATTTAACTCTCCTACTAAGAATACAAAAAAATTGGTCTTTGGGCCTGAGAATTTGAGAGCTTTGGGCTTGATAATTGAAAGTGAAATCATCCAATTGAAATTCGGCTAAGATTTCCACCCAAATTTTGGGTGCAAGGATAGTTTGGGCTCTGGCGACGATGACATCGGCCACGTCCTCCCGGTCCACCGTGGGAGATACAGGCTATGGCACCGTTTATTGTTGTATGTTTATTTTAAAGAATTATAGAGAGGTGAGGGACGACGAGCAAAGAGAGAGAGGAGAGAATTGGGCGAGTCTAGTGGTGTTATTTATATCTCATTGTGCATTTATTTTCTAGTGGTATTACAACTGAAATAGATACTAACTAAAAGATTTTATAGAATCCTAATAGGATTTACACTCATAGCTAAATTAGGATTGCAACAATTATGTCATTTTTGCTGCTATGATCCAGTGGTATATAATATCTTTACTGTCTTTATTTCGAGGACAACTGCTCATTAATTTACTGTAAAAATTAACTTTGGAAAGCAGTCCCCAGACGAACCGCACATAATCTTCAGACACAGACGAAAAAACTGTAATGAACAATATCCAGTAAACGACTTTGGGGGCATCCGACAAGGAGAGACCTCGTTTACACTTCTCACTAATTTGTCCATTGACGGCAATAACCATCACACCAATGAAGATGTGTAACGCAAGGGCAGCCAATGCAAGTAGATTCACAAATGACTGGACCAAAGATACGCCCCATTTGCAGATTTTACAGCGGGACAATATTATCCCTTCCAAACTGTTGTTCTATATGTTTGGGTTAATATTTGAACTTTGGGATAAAGGAAGGAAGGCCCAAAAAAGAAGCCAAGAAAACACGACTCTGCCCGAAAGCCCAGCACCAAACCCATTCGCCCGGCCCAAAGCAAAATAGTGGTTCTACATAAATGCAAAGGCAAGTGGACTACATAGAAGTGACACCTGATGGAAATCGACCTACTCTCAGCCCAAAAGAACTTTCTAATTGCAGAGGACGTAAATTGTTGATGAGTCACTACCCCTCAATTACTTTCGGGCAGGAACCAAGTTGCAAGCAGTCGAGCCGATTCAACTATAAAAGAAGGAAGAGGGCCTAGAAACAAGGACACTCCATCAAACAAACAAATACACAAACTCTGCTTAAGCCAGATTTGCATATGGAGTTGTAGTAGTCAGCCCCCAACATACGAAGCTGTAGTCAGCCTCCAATCTCAGTCATTTTCAGGATCAACCCTCACAAAAGCCATATTTTATCCAGTTTAATAGCTCTACTACTCTCTTAACCACAGTAGTATCGATTCCCTTATGTTATCCCTGTTTACTACTCACTCCATTTTCTCCCCAAACCTTTGTATCAAAAAAGAAGTGACGCTTTACAAGATTCAACCTTGCCCGACACGGTTAAATCTATCCCGAACCCTTTTGTTTTGTTCTTTGCTTAATAGATATGGTATTGTCATGTATCTTTCTACATATATTCAAGTGATTTCCAGTCTTTTAATAGTTCAAAGATCTCTCAATCTTCATATTTAGTTCATTCAACGTTCATTAGGGCATTATCATTGAACTAAAACCATTCGGCCAGATTTGGACATCCGTTCTTTAAAGCATACAAGATGAACAAAAGTCTTTGACCTCAAGGCATAGAAAAGAACTTAATGTAGACTTAACCCATCTACGACAATCCTTTGATAAACAAGAAGTTAGAAGTAACTTGGGGCGCAAGTAATCGGCTTAAATACACTTGTTTTACGTCTGCCATACAGAGATGGCAATGGCACGCCTAAGCACTGGAAGTTAGTTTTGATTGTGAGCCTCCAAGCCTACACCTAAGGCTATGCAAAGGCACATTTTCGAAGCTAACTTTGTTCTCCTATTGTAGCATTGTAACAAGTAGGAGATCGACAATCGATCAAAGTGCTAACTCCTCGATGAGCTATGTGCTCGAGCCAGGAACTCCACCAACAATATTCCTGCCCGAACACTATAGGTTTGTGGTTTTCTGTTCTCCTTCTAATCTATAAACCATTTTATTCCAGGTCGTTGGAGTGGATATTTACCCAGGTATGCTCATTTCTGCTCTGCAACTCGTAGGCATCACGATGTCAAGTTTGACATGATGTAGTAATTGAAACTTGAGTACAAAACTTGATTTGTTTTTCGAAAATGGTCGTCGTCTGTAGAATTTGCATCTATATGAGACAATAAAACTAACTTTTACAATAATTTCTCCTTGATGGTTTTTCTATAGCTGCAAAAATTGGAGAGGGAATATTGTTGGATCATGGTACATGCGTGGTTTGGAAACAGAGTTTCACTGATGCACATTAGTCAATTTCATAATTTGTTTCCGTTTCAATTTATGGGTTCGTTCGCGTCGTGCTGAAAAGTACTTGTTAATAATAAAGAACTATGTATTCTGCTTTTACCAACAGGGTGCGACTCTGGGAGGAACTGGGAAGGAAACTGGTGATCGTCATCCAAAAATAGGTGACGGTGCACTAATTGGAGCCAGTGTAACTATACTTGGGAATATCAAGATAGGTCGAGGAGCAATGGTAGCTGCTGGTTCCCTTGTGCTGAAAGATGTCCCTCCACACAGGTAGAAAGTAATTTTTGTATTTTAGTGCAGTAACGTAACTAATGTTTCATAAATATGTATTTACTCTAGTTACAAGCATATGAAAATGACATTTCTTTCTGTGGTGCTCAAGCATGGTGGCGGGAATACCAGTAGAGGTGATCGGATATGTAGACGAAATAGATCATTCATTAACAATGAAGCACGGTATGTAATATGGTTGGGATGCAATTAATAATTGTTCACATTGAGCTTAGGTCTTGCGTTTGTTGTATATGTTTTATTTAGAATTAGGATACTGAGATATTCATGATTATCATGCCTCACATGTAAAATTTCTTGTTATGAATCTACAGATGTTACCAAAGAGTTTTTCGAACATGTAGTTGTGCGGCGTAAAGATACAAGACCTGCTGGTTGGTGTAAAGATTCCTCTGTCCTTCCCTTTCTCAAGTAAAGTAAATAGGGGAATAGCTGGTTCCTTCTCGGGGCTTGCCTCCCTCATTATTTCTCTAGTATAACCATCTTTTGGGGTAGAATACTCCAAATCTAGTATTCTCTGCAAACTTCATGTTAAAGAATAGAGTTTGCTCACTTCTCCTTTGGTCTCCAGAGAAATCTTTTCCATACTTTTCAACACTTGCACCATGGTGGCTTGCAAGTCTTCATTGGTCACATTTCTTCCTGACTTCTCAGATGAAGTCGGACTTTCTAGAATAGCTTGTCCTCGTAGGGAGGGGAAATCTTATAAATGATCTGTCATGTCTGATCTTGGTAAACACTGAGGTGACCCGTACTCTGTGTTCCACCTGAAGGTTCGCTCATTCCTTCTTTTTCTTCTTGGCAAGAAAATGGATCCCACCAGACGTGCCAAAATTATATTCGGGCAAAGATTTCTCTAGAGAAGGTCTGTGGACCTCAAGACAGCTCCCCAAAGGATTGGCACTTTGACGTTTGGTAGTCGGGCTCTTGCTTGTTGGTGTGTTGCAATAAAAGCTTGAAGTTAGTTTTGAAATGTGCCTTAGGTGTAGGCCTTAAGACTCGCAATCAAAACTAACTAAATGTTTAGGCGTGCCACTGCTATCTCAGTATGATAGATGTAGAATAAGTGTGTTTTAAGTCAGACTTCTTGTTTATCAAAAGATTGTCACATATGGGTTAAGTCTGTATTAAGTTCTTTTTCTTGCCTTGTAAACAAAGACTTTTAGTTCATAATCTTGTATGTTCGAAAAGAGGGAGTCTAGAGCCCTTTAAATCATTTGCTTGATTCCAGGTTGTTCTTAATGAAAACAGGTTTATTGCGTTAACAAAATCCGGATGCACATGAAATTCTAAGGTAGGGAATAACTAGAAATAACTTGAATACATGCTGAAAAGTACATTTAGATGACAGATCTACTAATTTAAAGGACAAACGAAGAGATTCGGGCAAGATTTTACCTTGTCTGGCAAGGTTGAACCTCTTATAGCCACTTCTCTTTGAGTTTATAGGGATTGTATGCTAAAAGGGATGGATGGTAAATAGGTTTTACACGAGAGAATCGATACTACAACACTAGTGAAGGTAGCAGAGTTTTTACACTAAACAAAAGATAGTTTTTTACTCATAATGCCACTGAAAAGTAGTGTTTTTTGGCTGATAGTAGGTTGGTCTCCAACACTTGTCACTTCAGTTATAGTCTTAGCTGAGAAGGCTTTTAATCTGCATCAGGCTTCAAGGTGAGCTTGGGGCAAATGCAACCTGCTTTAACGCTTTTGGGCTTCCTTTCTCTTAAACCCAAAAAAACCCAAATATTAACACAAAAAGAACGAAAGCACTGGAGCCAATGGAGGAAAGCAATCTGCGGACCCGTGAGCCGGAGAAACCTTGTTGATGCTGAGCACGAATTTCTAAAGTGATATCAGCCGCAATCGAGAAGAAGATGCCTAACACAACGCTAACATATCCAAATAGGTTACCAAATGACCCGACGAAAAATACACCGACCCTCGCCCACCACACAACCGATTTGCAGCCTTTACAGCTTGAGCGGGACAATATTTTCCAGTCCGGTACTGCTGTTGCAATCCGCATACTCTTTCCAAGATGACGAAATATGAGCAGAATTACCCAGACAACAATAATTATGATCAGGCATGATACCCAAAACTCTAGTAATTTAACGATCAGCTTCTTTATTTCCTCAACTGCACCGAACGTCTCCCTCCCGTCCTTCACCGATTCTCCAAGTTGATCGCCGTGTTTCCTCGCCATTCCCAACCACTTGCTCCAATCCCTCGCTAGTTCAACAAGTTGGCCTTGGTTTTTCCTCGCCAAAAGCAAGTTCTCTTTCGCATCCCTCGCTGCGTGCGCTTTTAGCATATTTAACTCCCGTTTGAGAGCCTCGTCCAAAGCTGTGAGTTTGTCTGTATATTTAGCCTTCTCGTACCACTTGGGCTTGTTGGAGCATTTGCCAACCAGCTTTACGCCTTCGGACAAGGTCTTCTTTAACATGTCTATCTCCTTGTTTGAGATTTTCAGTTTCTCGTTTAGATCTTCTATCCGTGGGATCAGTGACTCCAAACCACCAACCGTTGATTTGATCGCTTCGAGGAGGGGACTGAACTCGTTAGTCTTTTTTATCAGAGTAACAACGAGATTATACAGCTCTGAACACAATGTGCCGACAATCCCTCCTACTATAAGGTCTACTCCAGCCATTTCCCGTAAATTCTGGCAGAATATCGTAAATGGAAACTCTTGGGCAACGAAATCTTGAAATGGAAAAAGAAAAAGAGACTCTGTCTCAAATTAAATTGTACCGGAACTATAGATACCGCGTAGAGTTTATACGAAGATTACCGGATGATTCTCTACTGGTCGCCGGTGCCGGAGTTGGTGTGCCGGATGCTTTTACGGTTAAAGCTTTTTGAAATTATTACCGTTCGTGCTGATCTTAAGCAGAAATGAGGCGGAAGAGAAAACGGGAGGAAGACGAAAGCTTGGGAGAGGGGCAGAAGCAAGATTGCGGATGTGGTTTGTGATTTGGGAAGAAGAAAGATATACAGAGAAGGATAGATTAGGACCGAGAATGGCCGAATGAATGAAGGGAAAGGACCATTGGTGTTTGACCAAAAGAAGAGAAGACTAGACCCGTGAGCATCGAGAAAATTTTAATTGTGACGGAAACACTACTGATATATCATGTGTTTTAATAGGAGTAGTGAAAACTTTTACCTTTTAAGTTAGGACAAAAAATTATTTACTACTTTTATGTTTCGTGGTTTTCAACATTTAGAATTATTTACTATTTTCATGATTCGTGGTTTTCAATATTTAGTATATAAAGTTTTTTTCGTCTCAGAGTCATACCGAAAATGTAAATTTTGGGATAGTCTCATATATCCGTTAGTCAAATTGTTAAGTTTCCAGTTAAGTATGACGTGGCGCCCATGTGGACAATAACTGGGCGTCAAGTGTGATGTAGTGCCTATTTAGACAATTAACTTTTTAACACATATATTCCATTATTTGTATAATGATACGTAATGCACCATTCCGTGTACCAATTATACTCAAAAAATCTCTCGTGAGCATCGGACTTAAACGTGGGTGAGGATATAAACAATGTGCAATGGCAGGGAAATTGCAGCAAGTGGGGTAGAAAGCAGAGTTCAGTCAAGTTAAAATATTACAAAGTACAGTTGATGTGTAGGTGCATCAGAAACTAGGTAGAGAGAGACGAGTTCGAGGTCAGTGGAATCTGTCCCTCAAAATTCTAAACTTGTAATATTAGTTTAATATTTTCTTTTCAAATTTTTATTTATTAATTAATAGGTAATGTTAAAAAATAAATAATTTAAAAAATAAATTGGTAAATTACATTTTACCTTTTAGGTTTATGTGCAATTGCAATATCTTACAACATTTTTAAAATATTTCACTCTGATACATTTATTATGATTTTCATTTCAGTTTAATACAACCGTTAATCAATTCGTTAGATTGACTGTTAAATAACAACATGACAAATATAATATTTACATTTTTAATGACGTTGATGCCACGTATTCGCCATGTGTACAAAAAAAACAAATAAAAATTTGGATCAAGATTCTATGCCCTCCCATTTTCCATCCTCTCTTATTTTTCTAGTCATTGATTTCATGTTGAGTTAATTTTATACTTCATATTTTGCCACCTTACACATTTTTACTCTCCTTTCTTCCTCTTCGCTTCCGCTGCTGCATTCACAGACCAAGAAACATTTTTACTCTCAGCCCACAGTTTTTGTTTTGTTTTGGTTTGATTTGTTATCTCTCTTCCCCCTTTCCCCTTTCCCCTTTCGCCTTCCCACTATGGATCTCCTCGGCTCTCTCACTACCCCTTCTCCTCTCATCTGCTTCGGTCTCATGGATTTCTTATTCTTAGTTTCCCATTGATTTCTTCACCACCTACGCCTCTCGATTCACAATCGCCACAGTTTTCGAGTGTTTATTTCAAATTTGTTTAGTTCTCTCTAATCTGTTTATCCCCAAATCGTGACTTTTAGATGATTAAATTCATAAATTCATTTTTTTTTCAACACTCTGGATTCTAAGTTATTCTCTGTTTCTGAAAATTTGCATATAATCTCATCTGTTTTTTTAATTGATCAAAAAAGCCATATTTTGTAAAAAAATTTGGTGTTTGAATTTCTGGGTTTCTCTGAAAAATGATGACTGTGAATCTGGGAATGCTCCATTATGTTCTGAACCATGTGTATGGTGCATTCATGCACAGAACAAAGATAAACGCTCAATTGTAATTCAATCGCATTCTTGGTAAAGGATGTTGTTGTGCAGCTGAAAATGTTTCTTGGCCTGTGAATGAGGCATCAGAAGTGAAAAGGAAGAAAGGAGAGTGAAATTGTGTGAGGTGGCAAAATCTGGAGTATTAAATTAAGGTGGCAAAATCTGGAGTATAAAATTAACCTTACATGAAATCAATGGCTAGAAAAATAGGAGGTGGTGGAAGAGGATGGAAAATGGTAGGGCAGACAATCTTGGTCCTAAAAATTTTCATTTATTAAATACCAATTTAGATATAAAGCTAATATAAAACAAAACTAAATAAACACAAGGTGACACACCCCGACCCAACAAGAATCGAGCTGTGTTGGCCTATACCCGGAAAGTAACGAAGCCATAAAGTATAGTTATGTGGAAAATATGAATAAATTTAAACTAAAAGTGCCTAAATACGAGAGTGCGTTGTGAGCGGGAATGAACCTATTTCACACGTGATGTCAGAGCAAAAGTAAAGTATAGTAGAGTGGATTGAGAATCATACCCTCGAAAGTAATCCCCAATACTAAGATTTGCCACGAATCTTTGTTAAAAAGAAAGCTTCGCTAATAAAACCTGGGGATGAAAACAAAACAAAGGTGAGTGGCCCTGAAAATAAAATTTTAATTAAAACCTTCTCAACGTTATAACCCATTGCTGTAATACCTGTTTAGCTTTCGGAAAATCATAATACGTAAAAGTATGAAATCAATTGTATACTAATAGTAAATCGAGAAGTATACCACGACACAACATCTCATCAGCAATATAAATAATCAGGTGCTTAATAATCCATACTAGCACGCAAGTCGGAGTCACCTAATGTGACTTGTACGACTGCACCCATATCTCATCAATCAATGCTATCACATAAGTCGGAGTCACCTATAGTGACCTGTACGACTCATCCATATCTTTTCAATCAATGTTAGCACTATCATCAACATGTACTCACATGAAGCTTACCTGGCGTCCGCAGCGTCATTTGGCATAACCACTTTAACGTCCCAACATTCTTAATTGGAAATATACCCAGTGATAGGACAGAATAAGATCATGGTTAATCTCTACGCTGTTAACCATCATAACTTCTTTCCTTAAAGAAATCAAGTACCATGTTATATTCGGATTGTTTTATTACTGCATCTAACTGTCTTGTTAGACTGTCTACGTACCCTCAAACGGGATCAAGCCATTCGTAGTTCAATTTAGTACGTCAAAGCATTCACAGTAACTATATGTAGGTAATATGCATATGTATATGCCATAATGTAATCTAAAATTTTGCCATCACATAGTATTTCAGAATATAAATATATATATGACAGGGCATAAATGCATAAATCAATTTAAAAGAATTTATGGAATTATCAACACATAATTATATATATATATATATATATGATAAAAGAAAAAGATCCACTCACTTGGAGTCCGCGCTACAACTCCTTAGGACGAATATCAGGGAGTCACTAACAATTGTCGCCTAGAATAAATATCATATCATGTCTCAAAATTCTTACCGATAGAACATGAAACTTACATAAACACATCTCCAAGGACATTCTAGAATGGTTTGAAACCCATTGATCAAAAGTCAATCATTGGTTAAAGGTCGACGATAGGGTCCACAACCCTACATGACTTGATCTGGAAGATCCGCATCTCGGATTTCTGATCCGTAACTTCCAAAACTCCACATTTTGCTTCTAAAACATCATACTAAAGTTTCATTATTATCCAACGGTTGGATCTCCGCCAATTACTAATTCAAGTGGTGGTCAACATTTTATTTTATGAACTTACAAATCCAATTCAGGAAGATCTGTACTTCAGCTTCTCAATCCGTAATTTCGAATATCCTCAAATATTACATACTATAATGTATTAAAATTTGGTGACGATCCAACGGTCGGATCGTCAATTCACATAATGTTCAAGTAGCGGTCTTTAATGGAACTAGGTTCAAATGACTGAATTTCATCAATCGGACTTCACATATGGAATTGGAGTATCAAATTTAGCCTAGGAAGGTCAAAGGGGTACCTTGGCCCACGCGCCGCCACATGCGTCGCTCTGACTTGCCGAAAAATTCAACTATTTCTAAAAATTACCAAAATTTACAGGAATGAAGATCTCAAAGAGAGGAACAACTTTCATACCTTCCACAAAGTCCAAAAGTGGATGGAAGATGGTCAATTTTGCCCACAAAGTTGGCGGGTGCCTAAAGCTTCCCGACGTCGATTCGTCGTCTACGGTGGTCCAACGGGGTCAAGATTGGTTGAGATTTTCTCCTGGGATGATGGGCTACAAAGCCCAAATGGTGGCATTGGCTATCGCCTTGCCGATTCGCCGGAAAATTGAAGAGGGTGATCGGAGCACTGTTTTGATGCATCGAATTTCGTGGCTTCGTCCCGCCATATATGATGGTTTATAAAGGTGGTTCTTGGTTGAGTGTTGTAGAGGAGAATGAAAGCTTCAAGATGGTGGTGGTGGCGTCGAAAAACTCTGTCGGAGTTGGGCGAAATTGGCCTTGGAAGATGGGTGGTCGCAATGGGTGTAGGTGCATGTGAAAGGCCACGGGAAGGCTGTGAACTTTCCTTTTTTTTTTTTCCTCATTGGCTGAATGATTTTCTTTTCCAATTCCGGATTGGTCCCTCACTCCTTTATCTAATTGGTCCCCTTAACCCATTTGTAGATTGGTTATCAATCCTACAAGGTGGGAGTTCAAATAATTTAACTACCTTTAAATAACCAACTTCAAATATCCATAACTATACCGTTATAATTCGGACTCGCAACGGCTTTCGCCTATGAGTTCATATCAACAAGTACTACGAGGATACGCTAAAAGAATAAGTTATACGTCTCTCTAACGAATGGTCAACAGAAGTCAAAGTCCTTGCCTCTAGGGCATTTTCGTCAATTCACGCTTTTAAAATTTATAAAAACGTAAAATTAGGGACGGGTTGTCACAATCTACCCCTTTAAGAAAATTTCATCTCCGAAATTTAAAATGATTTGTGACACAAAACTCAAAGTTAAGGAAGCATAAATATATGCACTATTGTCCCGTTGAAAAAAAAAAAAAAAAATAATATATATATATATATATATATATATATATATATATATATATATATATAACAACATAAAGTTTAGAGTAGTTGTACCGATATTGAAAACTGAAAATAATATTTTCAACTACGTAATTGAAAGTTGCGAACTCCAAAATTAAGTACATAATATCCTTGGGTTGAGCCCAAGTAATAAATAGGTAAAATACAACAAACACATAAATATGTACTATCGTAAAAAGATCTACATG